GGGCCTGGCCTCGGGCAGCCTGGGAGGCGGCGGCCGACCCTCCTGGCTCAGACGCCGGACAATCCAGCGAGGGTGTCCTGTGGGGAACCAGCCGCCGTCTGCCCGCTTCCAGCTGCGCTTCACCAACACCCAAGGCCGCTGGGCCCCAGAGGGCGGCCGCAGGTGCGGGTGTTTCTGAGGGAGGGGCGCTGTGGCCAGTCCTGCTCTCTTCCCCACCTGGGTCCTGCGCCTCTGCTGTCTGGAGGCTCAGAAATGCCCAGTGGATCAGACTGGCTGCCCCAAGCTTGGGTGAGAGGGGAGGAGGGAAGTCATGTCCAGAGTGGCCCCTCCGAGAGGGGGGAGGGCGCCTCCTGAAGGGGCCACCTCCCTCCCCTCCCGCCTGCAGGCGCGGGTGGGCCACTGCTGCTTGGGGAGCGGAGCGTGTCCCTCCCCGCCCCAGATCCCAGCACTCTACTTTATGTTGAGAGTTGTTTCTTATTTTGTCAGAGAAATTTTTGACATCTTCAAAAATAACTTGACTCAGAGAGAGCAACAGAAATTTTGTACAAAAATATAAAGAGCAAAACAAAACAAAATGAAGAAAAGCACAGTCCAGGCAGGCTTTGCTCAGACTGGACTCGAATTCAGACCCAGCCACTCCTCAGCTCGGGCTCGGCCAGGGTCACCGTCCTCTGCCTGTTGCCTGACGGGTGAGTGAGGGTGGTGAGGCCCCTCACGCGGTTCTTGTGAGGATCAGAAAGCGCACATGCCAGTCACATGACTGCAGGGCACGGCAAATCGTGGTGTGCTCAATGGCGGTGCCACGGCCTTTGGCCCCAGCAAGCCCTGCAGCAGGAAAGACCTTCACAGGGGCCTGCGCCCTTCTCAAGGGTAATCACACTCCACCTGGCCGGCGGGCACCGCCCCGGACCCTGTGCCCTGGCTTCCCCTCCTGGCGCCACGCTGTGCCCTGGGCACAAGAGCGGACATCCCTGTCCATCTTGTCCCATCCCCGAACAAAACCGGCCAGAGCTCAATGCACGCAGCAACAAAACATACACTGACCTGAGCTCTGGGACAGACACCCCGCCAATGGCTGTACATCTAGGCAATTCTTGCAGGTGGCGGGGGGAGGGGAGGGCAGGAGACTGTTCTGGCAGAATACTCCATTAGAAGGGGAGGAAGGAAAAGTTCATGGCGGACAGTTCACGTGCAGAAAGGAGAAGTGACAGGTCCCTGGGCGGCGGGCACACCCTCCCCCTGGCAGAAACGGCACCTGCTTGGCACCCGCCCGGACTCTCACCTTGTTCTCCGCAGACTGGTTCCTATGTGTGGCCTCCAGGATGGTGATGAACTGCCGGTACTGGGGGTTGGTCCAGCGGCCGACGCCTGGTGGAGGGGAGCAAGGTGAGCAGGTTTCAGGAAGAGAACAGGAGACGGGCAAGCAGAAGGCCCCGGAGGAGAAATGAGAGGGAAGGGTCCCAGATCTGGAGAAACGGAGGGCGAGCTGATCCCCCTGCACGGCCAGCGCTGGCCGCAGCACGCCCCCCTCGGCCCTCAGTTGGTTTCTTCCAGACTGCTGACCGCCCACCCTGAGTGCGCATTCTCCCAGCCTGAGGAGGCCACGCACCCTCAGTCTCGGCCCCGCTAACACGGGGTCCCTCTCCCACTGCCGTCCTTCGCCAACGCCTGCCGCTCGCTTTCTGCACAGCCTCGCTCCCTGCCATCTGCCTCACGGCTCCTGCCCCATAATTACCTCCTCACGGCCCGCGTCCCTGTCCTCCAGCCCCCAGCCCCTCACCTGGGTCTCAGCACTCTCCCTCCTCCACTCTTGCCTCCTTCCGACTCCTGGCCCGCTCCTCCCTGGCTGCCATGCTCCCTCCCTCTCTGAACCAAGAGCCATTCTCAATGCCGAGTTCCCTCTGCTCTTCACCCGGCCCTGCAGTGATCGCAGCCGCTCTCCTTCACTGTCAAGGAGCCTCAAAACCTGACACCTGTCCTTCCAATGAACAGGTGCCAGGTGCCAGGCCTTGCTCTGACATGGGAAAGACAGCAGTAAATGAGATGCAAAGGCCCGGGCCTCAGAGAGCTGCCACTTTAGTTGGGGGCGGGTGGGGCTGGAGAAGGACAAAAAACAGTCAAGAAAATTTCAGAGAAGGATAAGTGCTACAAAAAAAGAAAACTAGAATGAACTAGAATGCGATGTGTCATCAGAGGGAGCACCCAGCAATGTTGAGAGCGAAGCAAGCGCAGGACAGAAATGCCAGTGCAGCCCGGCAGGGCACTGAGCTGGACGGAGCACCGTCACGACACACCCAGGCTGTAGGTTCGATCCCCGGTCAGGGCACACTCAAGAATCAACCAACGATGCAGAAATAAGTGGAACCTACAAATCAGTGTTTCTCTCCCCTTCCTCTCTCTAGTATCAACAAAAACATATTCTCAGTGAGGATAAAAAAATGCAGGAAAAAACCACACCCGACGACAGTGGTTACTTTGGGGAAAGAGGAGCACAGGACAGGGGAAGAGGCCCGGGTTCTATTCTAGTCTAAGACACATGCCGGGATTGCCAGCTTAATCCCCGTGGGGGCTGTGCAGCAGGCAGCCGATCAATGATTCTCTCTCATCATTGATGTTTCTATCTCTCTCTCCCTGTCCCTTCTGAAATCAATAAAAAAAAAAACATTAAAAAATATATATATTTTTAAAAGATAACAATGAAAAACAAGATAACAATGCCCATGGTTTTCCACTTACATACACTTCCCTTTTGAACTTGACATAAATGGAATCATACTGCATAAATTATTTGGCAGTCAGCTTCTTTCCTTCAGCATTACATGTATTACTTCATCTGCACTGCTGAGTGTAGCTGATCTGTTCATTTGCATTGCTTTAGTTTGTCGCTATAGGACTATACTCCCTGAAGCATCTACCCACCCTACTATTTGTGGCTGTGGAGTTTTCAGTTTAGCATTATTACAAACATAGGTATGAGTATATGTGGAATTGTTGTAGGGTATATGCATCTTTTCTAGCTAATAGCAAACTTTTCTCATAATTATTTTTCATATTTAGGACTCAAGCCCTTTAAGGAAAAGATCACGCCTTGACCATTCTCAATTATTCTCCCTCAGGGCCCAACACAGACCTGCAGGAGCTGCTGTATAAACATTTACCAATGATGAACAGGTACCAGCCAGGCTCTTTCTCCACCTACCTCGGAGGCAGGCTACACCTGCCAGCAGGAGCAGCAACGTCCCAGCATAGTGAGAGAACGGGACCACTTTGGACAGACTCAGGTAACCTGGGAGGGGAGAGGAACCACGTGAGAAGCTTTCCCACCACCCCACAGATGCTCTTCCCAGTCCCCCCAACCCGCCCACACTCCCGCACTGGGACAGCCGAGAGAAGACGGAAGCGAAGTCATCCTTGCAGGTCCCCTTTCTTCTTTAGGGGGTCAGCTCATCTGCCAACCACCTGCCCGTTTCCTGTCCCACCACCTTTGAAACCACACTGACCTTTCCTGTATAAGTAGAAGAAGGCGAAGGGAGAGGAGTAATAAGAGATGGACCAGAAGACGGAAGCCTGCAGCAGAGAGACAGGGACAAGCAATCAATACACACACACACACACAAACACACACACACACACACTCCCCTGCCGTTTCCAGGCCTAGGCTCTGAGCAAAGTGGATAACCTGAGGGACAGTATGTGACGTACCTATCCTGTGCATGACATCATACACACAGTAGGTGCTCAATATTTGTTGAGGGCAATGTGTCAGAGCATAACAGGCTGGTAAAAGTAAGTACAAGTTCTACTTTCTTCCTGTTATCATCTCTAGACATAATCCTTCACATCTAGAGGCCAGGCTTTCTTCCTACTCAAGTTAATCAAGTCTTTTCTTCCATGCCTGCTCAGGACAGCCTGGTCCCCAAGAGATGCACAAACATCACCATAGGAACCCTGCCAGAGAGAACAGCTGTCCCTGCAGCCAAAGAGGTTAGTTGCCAGGAGGACAGGTCACTGGGGACTGCAGGACTCAGCACCTGCAGATGGTTCCAAGAGTAAACACATTTTCCTCATAGCTCAGGCTGGCCCCAGAGAAAGTGGGCACAGTCAAAGGGGAGTGCCAAGAAAGCACGCGCTTCACAGTGTGTCTGTGTGTATTGGAGGGGTAAGCTACGAGCCTGGAGCAGGCCCCACCCAGGGGCACTCCTCTCCCAGGCTGGGGAGGAGAAAGGTCAGGAGAGCCACTGGGACTGAAAAGAGGCAGTAGTCCCAGGAGCCCGGGTAGACGTACCAGTGCCAGGATGCTGTCGGCATGTTTCTCCAGGGCCCGGGGCTGATAGTACGTATCCTGCCAAAACAGATGCCCACGTTAAGGATCCTGCCCCCTGGCGAGTTCTTCCCCCTCCCTTTGGAAGCCCTAATGTGTGTTCTCTGGTTTTAGCCTCCAAAACTGTCCCTCCTAGGACACCCCTGGCTCCCAAAGACCCTTCCCAGCCATGCTCTGAACCTGATTCCGCGCCCCCCTCCGCCCCTGCCCAGACCCCCAGACCATGAGAACAAACACGGGGGGCTGGACTTAGAAGCAAAAGTGAAAGCAGCATTGGACGATTTTGGCTTGGTTTTCGAAACCCAGTGTTTTTTTTAAGTTTTTCTTTTTTTCTCTATATTTTATTTTATTTCTTTTACAGAGAGGAAGAGAGAGGGATAGAGAGTCAGAAACATCGATGAGAGAGAAACATCAATCAGCTGTCTCCTGCACACCTCCTACTGGGGATGTGCCGAAACCAAGGTACATGCCCTTGACGGGAATCGAGCCTGGGACCCTTCAGTCCGCAGGCTGACGCTCTATTCACTGAGCCAAACCGGTTAGAGCTTAACTTTTTCTTTTTTTAATTGATTTCAGAAATGAAGGAAGAGGGAGAGAGAGATAGAAACATCAATGATGAGGCAGAATCATTGATCGGTTGCCGCCTGCACGCCCCACACCGGGGATCCAGCCCGAAACCCGGGCAAGTGCCCTAACCGGGAATCGAACCATGACCTCCTGGCTCATAGGTCGCCGTTCAACCACCGAGCCCCGCCAGCCGGGCTCGAGACCCAGTTTCAAATGGGCTGTGGACGTGTGCCTATGGGGAGCGTGGGGTTAGGGAAGACAGGAACGGGCAGCATGACAACTTTAAGAGGGAAAGAAGGACATCCGAAATAAGTGGGCTGATCAACGAAAGGAAATGTGGCTGGCGTGGGCAGTTACAGGAGGCCGGAAACATCATTTGAGATAAGAAGAACTTAGGGCACAGCCTACCGCCGTGCCCAGGTCCATGCGCGCAATGCCCCCGGGTCTCCGGAGCAGGCTGCGGGAGGCGGAGCGCAGCCGGCAGGGCGCTTGTGGAACAAGTCCTGTGGACATGCAAAACGTACCACAGGGAGGAGAACACGGAGCCGGGAGGCACCCGGGGTCACTGAGGAAGAAGAAATCGACAGTTTGGGGCAAAGCCGGCCAGCGCCCGAGTCCGCGCAGCGTCTGCCCAGGACTTGGGAGTCCACCGGGCCGGCCGGGAACTCTCGGCCGAGCGGGGCCGCGGGAGGAGAGGCAGGAGCGCAGGGAGCAGGAGGAGCGGCGGCACACAGCGACCCGGTGGCCAGTCCGCAGGCGCCACTTTAACCCGGAAGCACCACGCAGGCTGTGCGCACAACTGACTTGACAAGCGGGCTCCCCCGATTTCCGATAATGGGCGCTTCTGCGGGGCAAGGCCGCAAAGGGGCGCGGGCCGTACCATGTCTCCACGGGGGGAGGACGCGACTCACCCAGGAGCTGGGAGCGGGCGCAGTGACCGACGATGGAGTCTCAGGGGCGCCGGACCGCGCCCTTTCAGAGTCCCTTTCACGGTAGATTTTGTAGAGCCGGGGGCCGAGGACGCAGCTCAGCAGCTTCGCCTGGGCCCCGGC